CCCCCTCCACGGGCCCTGCTCTGTGTGTGACAGGGTAGAGCCATAACCTCTCCATCGGCCCTGCCCCGAGTGTGACAGTGGTGGCGCCCCAACCCCCCTGATGGGCCCTGCTCTGTGCGTGACAGGGGGGAGCTCCCCAACCCCCTGATCGGCCTTGCTCTGTGAGTGACAGGGGGCAGCGCCCCAACCCCCTGATTGGCCCTGCTCTGTGCGTGACAGGGGGTGGCGCCGCAACCTCCCCATCGACCCTGCCTTGAGTGTGACAGGGGGCGGTGCCCCAACCCCCCAATCGGCCCTACCCTGAGCGTGACTGAGGGTGGCATCGCAACCTCCCGATCCGCCCTGCTCTGTGCATGACGGGGCGGCGCCCCAACTCCCCAATCGGCCCTGCTCTGAGCCTGACCAGGGGCTGCACTTAGGGATTGGGCCTGCCCTCTGCCACCCGGGAGCAGGCCTAAGCCAGCAGGTCGTTATCTCCCGAGGGGTCCCAGACTGCGAGAGGGCACAGGCCGGGCTGGGGGACCCCCCTCCCCCTGCCCCCCGAGTGCACAAATTTTTGTGCACCGGGCCTCTAGTATAAATATAAAAGCCTAAGTGACCGGCCCGCCATTATGACATGCAATGACCATCAGGGGGCAGACGGTCAATGCACAGGCATGAAAACATGGAACAGACTGATGAATCTCAGAGGGAAGGGAGGAAGGGGGGTAGAGAGAGAAGAGATTAATCAAAGATCTTACATGCATACTAGAGGCCTGGTGCACAGATTTGTGCACCGATGGGGTCCCTCAACTTGGCCTGCAGGGACTGGGCTGAAACCAGCTCTCCAACATCCCCTGAGGGATCCCAGATTGCAAGAGGGCGCAGGCCAGGCTGAGGGACCCCAATGGGGTACCAATCTGTGCACCAGGCCTCTAGTATTTTATAAAACTCCTTCCATTATATAACATACTATTCTGTGTGGTGTTTTTAATATATTGAATGTAAAAAGGGAATGTTCACTACAAATTAGAACAGTAAATTTAAGAAGTACACATAAACAGAAATACCACAAAATTTGAAAAAAATTTTAGATACATGAACTAAGTAAAAGCATGTTATTCTTTTCTTTCATTTTGTGTATACAATAGAATTTCAAATGAATATTTACTACTTACATGAAAATACAGATATTTTGTACTTTACAGTATCCTACATAATGAGCTAATATGCAAATAGTCATCATGCCCTCACGCCTTAATGGCTCAGACACTCAACACTGGGGAGAGGAATGGGGACCAGCCAGGGACAAATGAGCTCGTGAGAGAGGAATGGGGACCAGCCAGACACAAATGAGCTCATGAGAGAAGAATGGAGACCAGCCAGGCTGCAGCCCAGGAGAGGGACAAGCTGCCCGCCCTGTGGTCCTGGGCACCAGTGGCTGTGCCTGCGGCCCGGGAGAGGGACAATCTGCAAGCCCCATGGTCCCTGCAGTCCTGGGCACCAGTGGCTGCACCTGTGGCCCAGGAGAGGGAAAAGCCGCCCACCCTGTGGTCCTGGGAACCAGCGCGTGCAGCTGCAGCCCAAGTGAGGGACAATTGGCCTGGGAGAGGAAGCTGCCTACCCTGCAGTCCCGGGCACCAGCGCCTGCAGCCTGGGAGAGGGACAAGCTGCACATCCCATGGTGCTGGGTCCAGCGGCTGCATCTGTGCCTGCGGCCCGGGAGAGGGACAATCCATACACCCCACAGTCCCCATGGTCCCAGGCACCAGTGGCTGCACCTACGGCCCAGGAGAGGGATAAGCCGCCTGCCCCATGGTCCCAGGCACCAGCGGCTGCATCTGCACCTGCGGCCCGGAGAGGGACAAGCCGCCCGCCCCATGGTCCCGGGTGCCAGCAGCTGTGCTTGCAGCCTGGGAGAGGGACAAACCACCGCCCCACAGTCCCAGGAGCCAGCGCCTGTGGCTGTGGCCCAGGCGAAGCTGCCTGCCCACAGTCCCTTGTGGCTGCAGCCAGCCCGGGCGAAGCCGACCCAAGTCCCGGGTGCCTGCGACCGGCTGAAGGATGGAAACCTGGGTCCCGGGTGCGAGGTGAGGCAGAGGCGGTTAGGGGCATCAGGCTGTTAGAGGAGCAGTTAGGGGTGATCAGACAGGCAGGCAGAGGGGTTAGGTTTGATCAGGCAGGCAGGCAGGTGAGTGGTTAGGAGCCAACAGTCCCAGATTGCAAGAGGCAGTCAGACATCCCCTTAGGGGTCCCGATTGGAGAGGGTGCAGGATTGGAGAGGGTGCAGGCTGGGCTGAGGGACCTCCCTCCCCCGTGCATGAATTTTGTGCTCCGGGCCTCTAGTATATTATAAAAGGTAAAAAAAAAAAGAAAAGAAAAAAGAGGTAAATTATCGTTGGAGTCAGAATTTAAAGGTAAATGCAATCATATCAAAAGCACATAAAAGGCAGCTTGAAGATGTTGGGACAATTTGAGCACACAAAGAATGGCTGCAGCTGATTAAAACATTATTTAATATAAAAATGAGTCTAAACAAGAGACAAAACCAAAAATAAAATTCCTTTGTCACCACTGCAAGTGGCTTCTGCCCCAAATGCTAGCTCTGCAAATCAATGGAGGGAAAGAATAAGAATCCATCCTGTCTTTACACTAGGAAATGTATTTCAGGTGATCAGATAGCCCAAGTGGATAGAGAAGAGCATCTCTTCACAGAAGAATGTCATTAAAAGTGTAGAAGAAATGATAGAATTTTTTAAAATCACTCTTTTGCAAGTTCTAATGAAATAATTGATTCAGGTTAAGAATTATCAATAGAGGAAAACAAAGATGGCAGCATAGGTAAACACCGGAAATTGCTGCCTCGCACAACCTCTTCAAAAATACAACTAAAAGACAAAACGGACATCATCCAGAACCATAGGAAGGCTGGCTGAGTGGAAATTCTACAACTAGAAGGAAAGAGAAAAGCACACTGAGACTCAGAGGAGGTGCGGAAGTAAAGTGCAGAGGTACGGAGGCACATGTGGAAAGGGCTGGCAACTGAGGACGCGGTTGTCTTTTTCAATCAGGAGGGAGTCTCAAGCTCCCAACTGCTCTGAACTCCAGTTCCGGACGAGTCTCTGCAGACCCAGACTCATAAGGGGAGAAACTGGATTGTCTGGCATCGGTCGTAAATCTCAGAGGTGCTTGCGGCGATTACCGGGACACTGAGACACAGGGCCTCTTAGGGTAGGACTGAGGATCAGCCATAGCTGTTTGCTCCGCCCTGTTGATTCCCTG